TACTGGTTGCCATATGGGCAAGGAAAATCATAGTGTTGATTTTGAACTAATATGTTATAACATAGTTTTAACTCTTGAAGGTCGTTAGACATGGTGGTGGCTAAAGATGAAGACAGCTTTTGTAGATTTGAGAAAAGTCTGGATAACAAAGGTGAATGGTCAAAGGTTATTGTAATGAATACAAATTTTGTCTAAGTTACAGCCTTAGGAGGCTGGGGGGGGGGGAAATATTATTTGTTTATAGTGAGAGAGACTGCCTGAGTTGGAGGAAGGGATGGTAACTGTGTCTGTCTTTCTGTTATCGGCCTGCTAGAGCAAGCTGAAGCAAAATAATGATAATGAAACAAAACAACCCAGCTGACTTGTCTAAAAATCAAATGAATAATGAACAGAAGTAAAATTAGGTAGAAGCTACAGGAAAAATGAAAAGGTTAAAATCTTATTTAAAATTTAAATCTTTAAGCAATAATATAAAGAAAAGTGAACATTGAGAATGAGCAGTTAACATATGTGTGTCTAGAATGAGTGCGTGTGCTAGTGACCGCACTTTATGTCTTGTATGTATTAGTTTGGGGCACTAATATTCCACCTGAATGGTGTGTATATTGCGTCATTAACCTCTGGAATGAGTTTATCATTACAGATGGGTTAAGGCAAATGAAAAATTTTAAAGAAGCTGATAATTCTGATGAAAAGACAATACAGAACATGGGACAAGCTTTAAGTTGATTGGCCATCAAGCTCTGTCTGGTAGTAATACTTTTGTCATACATAATGTAGATTTGAAGATCAGTAAATTGGAATTGTAGTAGATCACCATCTGGCATGGGCTGAGATAAATGAAAATGTTGTAGATTTGAGGGAAACAACAAAGTGACATATTGGCTAAGTCAACATGAAATTATCAAGAGAGCCTCTCACATTTATGATTATTGTGAACAAAGGGGGAGAAATGATTGACTGACAATGACCAAGTCTGTACAGCACGACCTGACCTGATAGAAACAATTGATGACTTTGGAAATGTTTGTAGATGACTGACTTGAGAGACCAAACAACAGGCCTGAAAAGCGGGATTTGCTGTGAGACTCAGGGCCGTTGTCCTTCAAATACTGCGAGAAGATGATGAGATTGTGGCTTTAAGTGAAGAATGTAATATTTTTGTTTCAGAGACAGGGAAAGATGTCTGGAGGAAAATTTGGCTGAAGGACGCCGTTTGGGTTGGTGTTGATGGCAAATCAAATTAGTTTAAATTGATGCATGAGTTGATTAATGCATCAAGAGGGAGATGGTATAACAATTGCCAAATATGGTTTATTAAGGGGTTCACATTTGCTGAATAAATGTTGGGAGAACACTAGGGGTATTTGGATAAAAGCCCTGAAAGAAGCCATTTTTCTGCCTAACAAAATTTATGTCTGTGAGTGTGCTGCACACACCAATAACAAAGATTGTTTCAACAGGAAACGCCAGGGCATCGAAGGACACGGGGGAACAGTAGACAAAAGAAACTACGTACTTTACTATCTGACAATAACCTCGAAATTTGTTTCTCTTTACAGAGAGCATGCAGGATTGGGAGACAGGGCAAAATATGCCCAATAAAATAATGGTTATGGATGAATTTGGCTAACTGTCCTGGCCTGGTTTATTATTGTGGCAGAAAGGTGCTACACCTGCGCAGCGCATAACTTAAAATTTTCCTTTTACAGAATGTCAGGATGGATTGCATCAAGCTGAACTGATTGTGTTTCCAAATGTATGAATATTGACTTGTTAACGTAAGCAAAGTGGATATGTGTTTTTCAGGGGAAAAGGACTGAGTCCTATTAAGTGAGCAAGAAATTATCCGGTGATAATGTTTCAGATTGTTGAATCCACAGGTCACACCAAAGGGGACGAGCGGCAAGACAAGCGGTCACTAACAAAATACTTAAGGTCTCCATTCACAGGTGACGGGAAGCAGGAAATGGTTCATTCCAGTGGGGGTGCGGTGGTGATCTCAGGAGATCAGTGTGTCACCTGGGTCCAAGCCTCTCACCTTAGACAACACCAACAGGCCACAATCATCCCATAGTCCATGGGGCGAACGAGATGATCAACACGCCTGGAGGAGGATGTGAACCGACTAATGGTTTAAGAATGTGGTTTTGTGATTATTTTGAGGATTTGATTTGATTAAATCAAAATAGGGCTTAATATTGATATACAGTAGATCAAAAGATTTGATTGGTTACTTATTCATTAGGAAATATTTAAGGAAAATGTTTTTGGGAAGAGAAGATCTATTAATTAATGTAAATGGTAGGGATAATTGTTGAAGCTTATTAAGTAGAACCACTGCCTGTTTGAATTAAAAGTTAAAGGTAAAAGAAACGGAACGTTTAACAGAAGAATCTGTTTTTGTGATGATTTTGTTTGATTGAATCAAACTAGGTATTGATTTGATTGTAAATGTAGAAAATATATTGATTGTGTCCGTAATGGAAATATTAGAGTTAATATTGAACAACTGCATTGGTTAGAAGAATGGATAAAATTATAAGACTTCTCTGTTTAGATTTTGTTAAATATGGCATTAAATAGAGCTTACTAAATTGAATTAGAAGTGAACAAAATATGGTTAGGAAAACCGAGGTGAAATATGGAGATGGGCGTAGATTAATGGAAAAGGCTTAATGATAGGGTTTAGGATTGTTATTCTAATAATTTTGTTATTCATGGGTGAATATGATTACAGTGACAGGTGAAACATGCTGTCTGTTCAATTGGTGAAAATGACAGTCTATCCCAAGGATGAACAAAATTATGTGACGATACAGTTAGTGGGAGCTACAGTGAGATATGTGTTAAATGTATGTTCTGTTTGTTTTTCTTCTATTTGTTTATTTTCTGAGAAAGATTAAGGGCAAAAGATTTAAAGAAGGTTACAAGCAGCGGTCATCCGTGTTACGAGATGGCGTACAAAGATAGGGTTTGAAACTGAGTGATTTTTTATTATACTTTTATCTGTTTGTTTCCTTACTATGTTATAACTACCTTTTTCCTTACTGGCGTGACTGAGGGTCTGTTTACAGGAGCGCAGGAACAGAGATTTCTCGTTCAGCCCGGCGTCGTGAAAATATTTACTTGCTAGCTAAAATATTACGGGGCTTTCCCCCACAAAAACAGCCTTATGCTTCTTCATTCTAAACTTTTCTTCACAGGTTCAAGGAGAGTGATCATTTATGCAAAAAATCAGAGATGAAGAGTATAAGTGTGATGATATGACTTAAAATTTGTCTTATTGTTTATTGTTATGATTATGGGTAATCAGAATGATAAAAAGCGGGAATTTGTTGTGGAAATTTTAATAGTCATTGATCCCTAACAGATATCATAAGAGAGAGAACCTATTCAATGTGTAAAATATAGATGATTCAAAGAATGTCACATGTGTGTCTCTTACTTGTAGTGAGACAAGATTCTGTTTATGTACCTGGGGAAGCAGAAGGGGGAGACACTCCAGGGAGCAGACGAACAGGGACCTCTGACCTAGATGTCGGAAGGCCATTTGGTGCAGGGGGGCTTAGTCTATGGAAAACTACTGGGAGGAAGGCTCTGGGGGAAAGAAGGCCTTGAAACTTAGATAAAAGCTGGTTCAGTCTGTCTGGGGGTGTGTCACTCTTCTGCACAGGGTAACAACTGTGTATTAGACTGCTCCTATTCTTGCAAGAATAAATACTTCTATTTTATATAATTTGACTCTGAGTGTCTCTTACGCAGTGATGTATGTTTGAGATGAGTTTTTGCCACAACACGCGCTATTCGCGTCTGGTGTGAACGCAGCATTAAAGGAGTGATTGATTGGTTGCGTCACTGTGTGCAAAAAAAACTTCGTCCGGGCCTTATAATGTCTGATGTCGGGTTAGGCTTACACAAAGCAAATCATCTACAAAATTATTTCGTTTTCCTATTTAATGACCGACAATTTAGTTGTAATAAGAATTTTGCCATAAGGCTTATTAGCGTTAGGCTATAGCCTGAAAGGTCTGATTTAGCCTAGACACTGTTACAACAGTAACACATTTTTTTTTCACAATGACATTTGAGTTCATGATTTTAATGTTTTTTTTTTTTTTTTTGCCAGACTAAAGACTAATGACAGACTTTGATCTTTGAATTAAAAAATATGTTTGGTTCAGGTTTGAAATTCATTATCTTTTAATGTAGTCTAATATCATAGGACTACCCCCCCAAATCCCTACAGCATAGTTGTTATACAGATCGCTATACATATTGCATTTGATTTGATTACTTTTTTACATTTCTGTCAAATATTAACCATTTTCAAATAAACGGGGTAGTGTTAACCTTATTCAGCACTGAAATCTGTCAAACTTCTTTCAAAGTCCTTCATCACATATTAATATTAAAATAACTTAATTTCAGAGCACCACAAAGTCAGACCTCAGCACCTTAATGTACCTTTAATGTAAGATCGTTCTTAGGTCACATACCAATTTAAAATCATAACATAAAAACTGCAATGGTACTGTTTTTAAAATCATGTGTAGTAGGCCTAAGTGTACAGTAAGTGTGTGTGTAAACATGCTTTAATGAAGTAGACTTCAAAAGCTTTTGAATTTGAGCTTACAGTTCTTTTATCAACCTGTATTTTACATAAACTTACAAAATAGATACTTTAACTTAGTCCTCAGAATCAGATAGAGGAGTGTTGCTGCTAGCTCCGTTAAGGTATTTCTGTCCCTCCCAAACTGCATTGAAATGGTATGTTTAGCAGCCAGAATTTAAAAAATTTTCAGGGGGAGAAACCCTCTGACCCCTCCTAACATGATCCATATCACCCGTCAGAAAACAATTGCAACGTCTCAGATTGTGCCCCCCCCAGAATTTTGGCTTGCATGACGCCCCTGGTTCTGCTTCCTTGGCTATTGACTAAGAGATGCTAGACTCTGGCATGAGGAGCACAGCAGTTGATCTTAGATTAAGACACTCACAGAAATAAGGGTGCTCCATGGCCTCGCGGGCGGTGAGGCGAGCTTGGTGGTCGTAGCGCAACAGTTTGTCCAGGAAGTCCAACGCTTCGGTACTGACCAGGTGCTGGTTCTCACTGTGGACAAACCGTTCCCACCTTTTCCGGGAATGTCTTGAGAGAGATAGTAAAATCCTTAAAGTGAGGTCAAAGTATTACATGTATACACAATCACACATCTCAACGTACCTTCCCAAAATGTCGTTGAACCGTGGGTCGAGCTCGATGTTGTATTTGTCGATGTAGTCGTAGAGGTCCTCTGTGCCCAGGACTTTGGCAATCCGTACAAGCGAGAGGCATCCAGCTGCAGCCCCGCAGACTCACTTCTCGCTAGACACCAGTGGCTGGACACCAGTGGATGGACAGCCTACGTCATTTCCGGATCGTCATTTCCGTATCGTCATTCACTTTTCAAATTTGACGCGCCATGCAGATGTCAGCGGTAAGAAAAAATATATAAACTGTCGATGATCTATAGGTCATGTCAGAATTCAAATGCACAACCTAGTTAAAAAATCGTCTTGTTTTCAAGGTACTTTGTCGTGTTTTTTAAAGGTATTAGTGAACTCTGGTGTGCCTCAATTCTAGAGCTAGGTTGCTACAATAGAACACTTGTACTCTAATATAGTTAAATATAAACATGCTCATTCTAATCATATTGTACATCTGTTCTTGCTTTAGGTGTGGTGAATGTCAAAAAACTGCCCCAGGCTGTAAGAGACATGTGTGTCCCTTTTAAAATTGTACAATGCAGAAATTGCAGATGTTCTTTCAAAGACTGGGTGGGGTAACGTTACCGTGGAAACGGAAGACATGGAGACCTGCGAGGGTTTTATACAGACCCTGAATTTCCTGAGCATTGCCCAGACTGCCAGTTTTAGGGGGCAGGAATGAGGTGTGGTGTGCACAGTGTGCAATAGTTTATTTGGTCTATAGTCTATAGTTTATTCTCTTGAAATAGGGACTTCCCCCACAACCTTACGGGCCTGACTGTGGCATCTTCATTCTGATGGTCAGATTTGACTAATTTTACTAATTAGATTGTGTAATTTCCAATAAATATTGCAAAACCATGAAGTGTTAATTTGATCTGGATTGTTTGGTAAATTGTCTGATCATGTGAATCTACGTATATTTTAAAAACAGAAGTGGTTACATTTAAAAAAAAAAAAAAAAAAGAATTGAATTGAATATCCAAATGGGCAAGGCAAAAAACTGTGGTCAATTAACATGTACAAGTCTGTTGTATTGACAAAACGTTATAGTCCATTGATCTAGGCTGAATTTAAGTCACAAAAAATGCATCCAATATGATCTGAACAATATATATTTTCAAGGTGGTTCTTGTGAATGCAGTTTGCATGAATTATTGATGTTATAATATTAGGTATATAATTTATAATTGTTTTATGTAAAGAGATATGATAAAGATCATATTTCAATTTGCACACAGCTTTTACATTATATATTTTAAGTCATAAAAGTAAAATGACAATACGGAAAAGACGTGTGCAATTAAGCCTGCAAAGAATGCTGTCTATCCACTGGTGAAAACAGAAAATAAATATGCTGTCTATCCAGAGGTGAAAATATAAAATAAATATATGTCTATCCAAAGGTGAAAATATAAAATAAATATGCTGTCTATCCAGAGGTGAAAATATAAAATAAATATGCTGTCTATCCAGAGGTGAAAATATAAAATAAATATATGTCTATCCAGAGGTGAAAATATAAAATAAATATATGTCTATCCAGAGGTGAAAATATAAAATAAATATGCTGTCTATCCAGAGGTGAAAATATAAAATAAATATATGTCTATCCAGAGGTGAAAATATAAAATAAATATGCTGTCTATCCAGAGGTGAAAATATAAAATAAATATGCTGTCTATCCAGAGGTGAAAATATAAAATAAATATGCTGTCTATCCAGAGGTGAAAATAAAAAATAAATATGCTGTCTATCCAGAGGTGAAAATATAAAATAAATATATGTCTATCCAGAGGTGAAAATATAAAATAAATATGCTGTCTATCCAGAGGTGAAAATATAAAATAAATATGCTGTCTATCCAGAGGTGAAAATATAAAATAAATATGCTGTCTATCCAGAGGTGAAAATATAAAATAAATATATGTCTATCCAGAGGTGAAAATATAAAATAAATATGCTGTCTATCCAGAGGTGAAAATATAAAATAAATATATGTCTATCCAGAGGTGAAAATATAAAATAAATATGCTGTCTATCCAGAGGTGAAAATATAAAATAAATATGTCTATCCAGACAGAGGTGAAAATATTAAATAAATATGTCTATCCAGAGGTGAAAGAGGTGAAAATATAAAATAAATATGCTGTCTATCCAGAGGTGAAAATATAAAATAAATATGCTGTCTATCCAGAGGTGAAAATATAAAATAAATATGCTGTCTATCCAGAGGTGAAAATAAAAAATAAATATGCTGTCTATCCAGAGGTGAAAATATAAAATAAATATATGTCTATCCAGAGGTGAAAATATAAAATAAATATGCTGTCTATCCAGAGGTGAAAATATAAAATAAATATGCTGTCTATCCAGAGGTGAAAATATAAAATAAATATGCTGTCTATCCAGAGGTGAAAATATAAAATAAATATATGTCTATCCAGAGGTGAAAATATAAAATAAATATGCTGTCTATCCAGAGGTGAAAATATAAAATAAATATATGTCTATCCAGAGGTGAAAATATAAAATAAATATGCTGTCTATCCAGAGGTGAAAATATAAAATAAATATGTCTATCCAGACAGAGGTGAAAATATTAAATAAATATGTCTATCCAGAGGTGAAAGAGGTGAAAATATAAAATAAATATGCTGTCTATCCAGAGGTGAAAATATAAAATAAATATGCTGTCTATCCAGAGGTGAAAATATAAAATAAATATATGTATATCCAGAGGTGAAAATATAAAATAAATATGCTGTCTATCCAGCAGTGAAAATATAAAATAAATATATGTCTATCCAGAGGTGAAAATATAAAATAAATATGCTGTCTATCCAGCGGTGAAAACGGAAATTAGCGGCAAAACGGAAATGACTGAGAAAACGGAAATGACGTAGGCTGTCCATCCACTGGTGTCCAGCCACTGGTGTCTAGCGAGAAGTGAGTCTGCGGGGCTGCAGCTGGATGCTATTGGTACAAGCTGGACAAAGACACAGTACTGGTTAACAACAGCAGAGGGCAGCAGACACACATCCAGCAGATCAAACCAGCTGACCACCTGAAGTTAGCATTGCACTGGTTCTCTCCACAAAAAAAAAAAAAAAAAAATCCATTGGGTTTGGATTATTGCAGAAAATAAGTTCTGTGACCAACAAAAGTTCATGATTCTTGCATGTTTTATTCATCATGAAAACCTTCACAAATTGAACTTTTGTAAATTGTGAAGCCTAAATTCAGAATAGTTTGCAAGACTGTAAACATAAAGCGGAAAACTGAGTAGACGAGTTTTCCTGTTCGGTGAGATGATGTTTAATGTCCCGTAAATTATGAAGGTATATTTGGTGCAAATCAACTGAACACCTGTGACAGTGAAATTTGTAGTTGTAGAAAATAGCCACACATGTGTATCAGTAAATTTGAGGTCACAGATAGAAATGTTTTAAGAGTTGCAAACTTGTAGACTTTTTTCTCTCCCACAAACACAACACAACAGTTACACCTTCTCAAATTCGTCATTGCAGGTACACACATCCTATTCTACAAATCACAAATTAAGAAACTCGTGCACTCACATTTTTGCTACAGTTGCTGCACTGAAAATGGTGCAAACCGCATTTACACACCCGCATCAAAAAAATGTGAAGTCACAGAGAAGTTTTGCTCATCCGCAAATCAATATGTGAATTCATCCAATGAGAGTTGCACACTTGTAGAATATTTTCTCACAAATATCTTGTATATTTGTCTAGCACAAACACAAGTACAGCTGCTTGAATCTGCTGCGACGAATCTCAAACACTGTTTTTCGCTCTCAAGTGACGAGTTTCACGTGCTCTCCCTTTTGCACCATTGATCTATGTGAAATGTGGAGCAAAAGTGAGTTGTGCATCTGTAGAGGCAGTGGGCATGAATATTCATGAGTTTCCCGGGCATGCGCGTGGAACTGCTCATTTTAGTTCACTCGTTTCTCAGCAGGTTTATTGGATTATTTCAAAAAAGGTCAATATAGTTTCAGCGCGAACTTAAACTACAATTGTGTATCGTTTCGTAAAGTTCATAATGTTTTTATTAATTTGCATGTTTTGTGTATTCGTCAATGACTGAATGATTGCAGGCATTCACTTCATGTAGACCTATAAAGTACAGCAAACTTCAACTCGTCGTATAAATTGCACCTTGCGAAGCTTTAAAACTGTGTCTTTTACTAATTGTTATCATTTGTTGATTGCAATAAATTAAATGAACCCTCATCACAGTGTATCTGTGGGCTAACACTTTTTTTTTTACAAATATCCTGGTGTGATTGTTCTTAAATTCTTGTTCATAAGCCAAATCATTTAAGACCACACACAAGCATGAATGTGTTGCTTCAATACTTAAGTACAATTTGGATTAAACAAAATTGTATGGACAAAAGTGGATAAATTACATTTGGTACTAGGTTACTGTAAATGAGGGAAAAAAACACTTAACATTCTTTTACAAAATATAATAAGCAACCAATTTGATGTTCTAAAATAATTATATTATTTCTTCTGTCATCTCCATCTCTGCTGTAGCCCAGTCTATGCTATGGTACGGTTACAGTATTGGCCGCTGTGGCTTCCTCAACATAACTCGTGGCCACGACAAATAGATGTCGTTCTCTCAAAATATGAAGTCGTGGCCACGAGAAAAATATATCGTTCCCTTAACATATGATCTCGAGGATACGACTTTGCATCGCGTGGCCACGACAAAATTATGTCGTTACCTCAACAATATGATCTCGTGGCCACGACTTATAGTCACGTTCCCACGACTTAATATGACGTTCCCACGAGATATTATCACGTTCCCACGACTCAATATCACGTAATATCACTGTTTGTTAAATACAAGTTCATCCACTTAATTGCGTCTTTGGAAAAATTAAAAAACGATAGCTTTGAGAGCGAGTACCTCATGGCTTAACCCCAATTTATACTTCTGCGTCGAACTTACGCCGTAGCTACGTCGTAGGCTGTGTGTAGCGCGTGTACCCTTCGGCGTACCCTGACGTGCACCTCTCCAAAAATGTAACAACACGTCAATTCTACGCGGACGCAAGCGATGTGATTGGTCTGCTAGTACCCCTCCCTCCAGTTTCACATGTTCCCTCTGCATGTGTAATTGCGCGTCAACACGGACAACGACGCAGAAGTATAAATGAAAACCAACGCGAAGTGTATAGCGTAGAGGCTCCGGCGTAGGTCCTACGCAGAAGTATAAATCAGCCTTAACTGTGTCAAAAGCCTTCTTTAGATCCAGAAATACTGCTCCTATTTCACCACCTTCATCTAATTTTGATTTTATATTTTCAATAAAATAACAGTTGGCTGTTTCAGTAGAGTGGTTGGCACGAAATCCAAATTGCATTGGATGCAAAGGAAAGTGATTCCCGCTTAGGTGAGTAGTCAACTGCTTTGCTACCCATCTTTTGGCAACCTTTGACACTATGGGTAAAATACTGATGGGTCTGTAATTTCCCACAGTTGTTCGCTCACCTGCCTTAAAAACTGGTGTCACAATAGCCATCTTCCAGGTGCTTGGAAAAATTCCATGCTTAATTGATAATTCAGATTAATCAGATGAGCAATAGGATAGCTATCCTTGTTTGATTTAAAAAATGTGGTATCCAATCCATAAGCATCCCTTGCTTTTGAGTCTCTTAAGGAGCGTATAATGTTTTTAACCTCTAATTCAGTTATTTCTGTTATTCTAAAAATTGATTTGGCATCATTGATGGGGATACAAGCTTTAGTTCTAGGAGAGAAGCTCTGGGCCAAATCCTCCACTAAGTTTATAAAATAATTATTAAAAGTACTTGCTATCGAGTCATGATCGTGTGTTAAAATTCCATTAATCATAAGTTCAGGTTCCTTTGTTCTCTGTTCTTTATTAAGTCCAGTTAGTCTATTGAGATTTTTCCAGACAAGTTTTCCATTTCCCCTGGCATCATTAATAATGCTAATAAAAAACTCAGCTTTAGCCTTCTTTATATTCCTTACTACCTTATTTCGAAGTGATGTAAAGTTAAGCCTATCACTACTATTACCTGATTTAAGTGCTCTTTTCAATGCCAGGTCCTGATCTTTCATTTGTTGTCGAATAGTTTCATTTAGCCATGGTAAAGTATATTTATGTCTAGGTTTGTGTTGCACCTTCCTTGTGAAGGAGGACATTACTTTATTTATTGTTGTTAAAAACGTTTTGCAACTGTTCTCGACTTCTTCGCTCGATAAAATGTTAGACCAGTCAGTTTTTGTTTTAAGGCAGTTTCAAAGTTGTTCATCTCATTTTTTGGAATCCTCTGGTGGTATTGTTTTGATGGTATTTTCAAATCGTTTTCTGGTGAGTTTCTGTACCAATAGTGTAATATTATGATCCGACAAGCCAGTTAACAAGTTAAATGATTTTGTTATTCTTTCAGGTCTGTTTGTGAAAATCAGATCAATCTGTGTCTGGGATGAACTAGTTACTCTGGTTGGTCCTTGCCCCAGTTGAGTAAGACTAAACTGGTCTGTTATCTCCTTAAGTTTTTTTCTATCTGATTTATATCCCAATTTATGTTGAAATCACCCATTAATATAAGCTCTTTTTTACCATTACATTTTTAAGAATTCTGTATAGCTGCTCATAAAACAAACTGTTAGATGATGGTGGTCGATACAGACAGACAACAGTAAAGGAAATTTCTGGAGAAAATGAAATATTCAATCCAATACATTCCATATCGGTTACATGCGACCACGCAATGAGACTGCATCTAATTGTCTCTTTAACATAGATTAATAATCCTCCCCCTTTACCCTTGTCTCTGTCCCTCCTAAACACGTTGTACCCAGGGACATTAAAAATACCCAGAGGAGAGAGTTTAGCCATCTAAACAACTAAACAACTTTTAGTTGTTATGTTGCATCGGTGTCCGGCAGTCTTTCCTGATGATGATGATGGTGTCTATATAGAAGCCACTACAGTGTAGAAATTCAGAAAATGGATAATAAAATTGATTTTATATGTCCCTATTTTGGCTTCGGTTTGTTATTCGTACAATATGGATATTTGCTGATGAGATTGTTCATCTACAGGTTTTTGGGGATTTAAAACATAATTAACATATGATTCATAGACAAATATCACGGTGCAAGAACCATTTTCACATTCATGCATTGGGCAGATGCTTTTATTCTTAATGACTTGCATTGCTTTCTAAGTTTACATTATATTCCTTTTGGATAGTAACGACTCAACTTTCTAAAGGAACAACTAATTATTTGGATCAGTTTTATAAAGTGAAGATCCCAATAGTAATGACTCGTGTTACTAAATCCATCGGAAGGAATTACTATCCAAAACCTTACAAAAAAAACTCAAAAGTTTACAATGAATTCATTCTTTAATAGGAGTATCATGGTTTTACTTTAGAATACTTTTCCAAATAATTATTCCTTTTGAAGTAAAACTTGAGTCATTGCTAGTGCGTTACCATGATCTTCACTTTAGAATTAATGATATATTATACATTAGTCATATTAAATATGAACTGCAAATGAAGCCTCATCAGTGATTAATTTAATTGTGATGCTATTGTCGAGTTAAAGTACCTGTGTAACCTATGTGATACAGCTGAGATATGAGAACACAAGTGCGCACACAACTTTAATAGCAAAAGACAAAAACACAGATAATCCAGACCGGGAAACAGGCAAATAATCCACATGAACACAAAAGGCAAAACCAGGACATGCAGGAACACCACAACTGAACACCACAACAGTAAACAACAGCGAACAAAACATGACTGAAGTACAAGGGTTTGAATGCACAAGGAAATCAAGCATGATTGGTGTGTCTGATGACGGTAACCATAGGAACTAACGAGGTAATTAAAGAAACAGAAACCAAAGGAAGAAAAAACAGACAATGGAAACTGAGAACACATTTTAACACAAAAGTCCTTATAAAACACAGAACCGGGATCGTGACAGTGTCCCACCTGTCGTTACATTGTTTTCAGAAATTACTGTTTCTTGCTGAAGCTCAAACGTGCTGCGTAACACGAGAATGAACCTCATTGGTTCTTGCTGAAGCTCAAACGTGAATGAATCTCATTGACAGCATTTAATTTTTGGATGAAATAACCCTTTAAACTTCACCAAATGTTTTTATTATTTTTTTTGCAGTTATTTTAGATACATAAACAAAAGAGATCTTGTCCACATACACTATTTTTTGTAGGCTACTTTAGCACTTGGTTATTCCAAGAAAACGTTGTATTCCAAGAAGAACTGCAAGGCTTCCACCTGCCGACCGCAGCAGTTTCATGAACAAAATTTTTGGACAAAAATCAGGCACAATCACACAAAAAAACTGAAATTTGTTGACATAATTTTTTCTGTGCATAGATTTAATAACATGCAATACCACTGATGTAGGTAAATTAATATTTCTTTTCACAGATAAATTTTTTTGTATTTGTACAAAAAGCATCAAACCAAGTGTTTACGGCGACGTCGTTATCACTTCCCAGAGCAACGCAATTAGCAGTTCTCCCGCCATTAGGTTGATTTGGATTCCCGCTGAACCAGAACCTTTAAGAGACAAACAAGCAATAATGCACTTACAATAATATTTTTAGAAAACATCTGTATATTTGTACATTGATTAACATTCCTAGAAAGATCACACATGCAGAGTTCTTACTGTAGTCTGGTGTCAGTGAGAGTTTGGTTATTCACCCAAACCCAGTGGTCTTCAGTGTCCAGATCATTGAGACCAATCCAGTGTGTATCGTTAATTTTAGATGCCAGAAAATTCTAATGGGGAAAATGTACATAAGTGATAGTGTTTTTGGTATATGTGAAGGGACATTTATAGGTTAATATAAACCCTTTAAAAGCTTTGTTTTATTTGTGTGATCAAAACATATTATTTTCTAATTGATCTGACTTGCCTGTTCTGATTTGCTGGTTATGGTCACCAGATCGGCTCCTTTTGAAACACAGACATCTCGACTGCTCGACCAGCTCAGTTTATCAGAGCTGAATAAATACAGCTTTCCACGACAAGCAATCCAGCCATTCACAGAGAAATTACAATACTGAGCTGTGAAAGATGAATTAAAAAGTCAATTACACCTTCTATTATTTAGATCATAAAGTTAATCAAATGGTTCCATGTGCAGAAATATTCACACTTTATGTTACTTGTAAACTGACACTCACCATCATAAAAGGACAGCCATTCTCTAAGTGTGTCGTATCTGGCTGTAAGATCATTAAACTCTTTCTTCATGGCTGGTGAAAAGAGAATTAAATAGTAAAGGAAAACAAGCAGATACTGTTTCTAACATGGGGAGTTCAATGAACACTCAACACTGTTAATGAAACATGCTGTGCTCTACCATTTATGAACGTCTCAGGTTACTACTGTAACCATAGTTCCCTGAGAAAGGGAACGAGACGATGCGTCACTTGACGCTTTGGGAACGCCCCCAGCGTGCATGCGTCTGAGCATCAATGTCAACTAGTCCAATGGAAAGAATGAGCGTCACGGGCGGGTGACGTCATGACCAGGAAGGGATAAAAGCTCGCCCGGTGAAACGCGGCATTAGCTTCAAAAAGTCGAAGCAAGCCAATCACAGGGAAGCAGGAAGTATGGCAGGGTGACGCATCGTCTCGTTCCCTTTCTCAGGGAACTATGATTACAGTAGTAACCTGAGACGTTCCCTTTCGAGGGAACTCGCGATGCGTCACTTGACGCTTTGGGAACGAGAATACCCAAAACGCCAGAATTCCAAGTACCCGAGTGTCAGTCTGTTGGAACTAAGCACTAAGCACCTGAGAACCTGGGGCAGCATCCAGGTCCAAACTGTAAAACCTGACGAATGTGAGCGGTGAGGACCAGCCTGCCGCATCACAAACGTCTTGGAGGGAAACCCCAAATAACAAGGCTTTAGAGGCCGCCATACCCCTCGTTGAGTGAGCTCTGACCACCAAGGGACACGGATGGTCAGAGTACTCGTATGCAAGTGAAATAGCCTCGACTATCCACTTGCTAACCGTCTGTTTAGAAGCAGGAAGACCCTTCTTAGGTGATCCAAAGCAAATAAATAACTGGTCGGACTTCCTCATAGAAGATGTCCGATGAACATAAGTATCCAGTGCTCGCACTGGACACAAGAGGTTCAGCCTTTCCTGGTCCGCAGATGTAAAAGGAGGAGGACAGAAAGCCTGCAGCACAATAGGCCTCGGAATCAAGGTCGGCACCTTAGGGACGTATCCCTGTTTTGGATATAAGAATGCCTTGACCATCCCCGGTGCAAACTCAAGGCAAGTGGGGGAAACCGAAAGGGCCTGAAGGTCTCCAACTCTCTTAAGGGACGAAATAGCTAGCAGAAAGATAGTCTTAAGGGTAAGAAATTTCTCTGAAACCGAATCTAAGGGCTCGAATGGAGCCCTAGACAGGCCTTCTAGTACTATTGCCAAATCCCAAGCTGGCACCCTAGTGCGAGTTGCAGGCCTCAGCCTCAATGTGCCACGAAGGAAACGTGTAATCAGGGGGTCTCGACCCAACGATGTACCCCCAACCAGGGCGTGGTAAGCCGCAATGGCCGCCACGTAAACCTTAAGTGTGGAAGGACATAAACCTGACGTAAAGCGCTCCTGCAAGAACTCGAGTACTGTGTTCACAGAACAGTTAACCGGATCCCACTGATGTCGGTGACACCATACAGAAAAAACTTTCCATTTCAGCGCATATAGTTTCCTAGTAGCTGGAGCTCTGGAGCTTAGGATGGTCTCAGCAGCCTCAGCTGAGAGACCACTCTCTATGAGTTGGGCCCCCTCAGAGGCCAAACCCACAGGTTCCAAATCTCTGGTCGAGGGTGAAATATTGTGCCCCCGGCCTGAGACAGAAGGTCTCTCCTGATCGGGATCTCCAAGGGAGGACCGTCTAAGAGATTGATCAGGTCCGCAAACCAGATCCGACTCGGCCAGCGTGGTGCTACAAGCAGTAGGCTTATTCCGTACTGGCGGACTCGTTCCAGAACTCCTGGGAGCAGAGCAACAGGGGGAAATGCGTACAGACGTAGCCTCGGCCACGTCTGCACCATAGCATCCAGCCCCAGGGGGGCTGGGTGAGTAAGGGAGAACCAAAGTGGACAGTGCGTCGTGTGCTGAGACGCAAACAGATCCACCTCTGCTTGGCCGTAAAACTCCCAAATTTTCTCCACCGCCTCGGGGTGGAGTCTCCAGTCCCCTGGCCTCAGCTCCTGCCTCGACAGGATGTCTGCCCCCACATTCTGGTCCCAAGGAATATACACTGCCCTCAGGGAGAGTACCTTCCCCAGAGACCACAGGAGGATCTGGTGCGTCAGTTTGCAGAGCGGACGCGACCGCAGACCCCCCTGACGGTTCAAATAAGAGACCACTGATGTGTTGTCTGTTCGTACAAGCACATGATGGCCCCTCAGGTCTGGGAGAAACTGTCTCAACGCATTGAAGACAGCCATCATCTCCAGGCAATTGATGTGCCACGAAAGATGATGACTTTTCCACAGACCCTGAACCGAGGGGCCTTCCATTACCGCTCCCCAGCCGGTGAGGGAAGCATCTGTCGAGATCGTAACACGATGGCAAAGAGCTCCCAATACCGGACCCTGGGTTAAGAACCAATGTTTCCTCCATATAATTAAGGCACGAAGGCACCGCCGCGTGACCTTGATCATACGAAGTGGGTTTCCCCTCGGGGAGAACCCTCTGGTCCTTAGCCACCACTGTAGAGGTCTCATGTACAGCAGGCCAAAAGGAATCACGTTGGACGCTGCCGCCAAGAGACCCAACAGTCTCTCGAACTGTTTCACAGTGCGTGACTGGCCTAGCTTTAGCTCTTTGGTGGCTGTCAGGATAGCAGCTACACGAACGGGCGATAGAGTGGCCCGCATCGTCACTGAATCCCATACCACACCAAGGAAAGTGGTTCTCTGTACTGGAGAAAGAACACTCTTCTTGGCGTTGAGCCTCAACCCCAACATCTGCATATGGGCGAGAACGACACCTCGGTGCCGAACCGCCAACTGCTCTGATTCCGCCAGAATCAGCCAGTCGTCGATGTAGTTCAGAATACGTATGCCCTGAAGCCTGAGAGGGGCTAGAGCTGCATCCACGCATTTCGTGAACGTGCGGGGTGATAAAGCTAGACCGAAAGGAAGAACCCGATATTGGTATTCTTTGCCCCCGAAAGAAAACCTTAGGAACTTCCTGTGCTGAGGGAGGATGGAGATATGGAAGTAGGCGTCCTTCAGATCTATCGTGACAAACCAGTCCTCGGATCTGATTTGAGTCACGATCTGTTTGAGTGTCAGCATCTTGAACTTGAGTTTCTGTACTGAACGATTCAACAGACGAAGATCTAAAATGGGACGCAACCCCCCATCCTTTTTTGGAACAATGAAATAACGGCTGTAAAAACCCGACTCTCTGTCGGGTGAGTACACCTGTTCTATAGCTTCCTTTGCTAACAGGGCCTTTACCTCTTGCTCCTTTACCAGAGCCTGCTCGGGATGCACCACTGTGGGCAGCACCCCGTTGTAACGAGGAGGACGAGAACCAAACTGGATTCTGTATCCTTTCTCTACAATCTGCAGGACCCAATGAGAAATATTCGGCAGAAGCTTCCACGCTGCCAGAAAATTTACTAAGGGAACCAGCCTCTCGAGGCTGGTCTCTGGTGTTATCGAGACAGCCAATTCCGGAGCCTGAAACATAATGGCAGGAACTACCTGAACTGGCCGCTCTAAGGCCCCCCTCAGAGGGCGCGAAACCGATGCTGTGCCGCAGCATAGCATCAGCGACTCGCTGGAGACCGCTGCGCCCTGAAGCACCAAGGGTGGCAGGGTTGGCAGAACGGTCTCGTGAGGACCCCGAAATGGAACGGGCACCGTATAATGAGGTGTACACCGCTCCACTTCGGTCGGGGCTGTCCTCACAGGCCTGATGCATGAACATCAGGACCTTTTTTTTTTTTTGAACCGAAGTCTTCTTCGCCTGAAGAACGGTCCTCAGATCCGGCTTCGACTTAGAAGACTTCGGTTGAGAGGGTTGCGTCCGTCTCCAGTCTCTACGTGGAGGTGCACGAGACGCAACACTCTCTTTCTGATGCACACGATATGATGAGCTCGACGGCTGGGGCTGCTCACGCCCAGCAGTCCCAGGGGGCTGGACCGGGCGAGGGATAAACTTTTTAAAAACGTCCGCTTGTTTCTTTGACTCCTGAAATCTCTCGACGACCGCGTGGACTGCGTCGCCGAAGAGACCAGAAGGTTCAAGCGGAGCATCTAATAAAAAAGCTCGATCTTTTTCTTTAATTTCAGACAGATTTAACCACAAATGTCTCTCAGTAGCTACCAAGGCTGCCATAGACCGCCCAATTGCTCTGGCGGTCTCCTTAGTAGCCCTGAGAGAAAGATCGGTAGCCCGACGAAGTTCACGAATATCGTCATGACTGACTCCCTCACTACTATCCAGATCCCCCAGCAGGTCAGCTTGATAAGCCTGGAGCACTGCCATAGTATGCAGACATGCTCCAGCTTGACCTGCTGCCGTATAAGCTTTGCCCACTAACACCGAAGTGGCTTTAAGCGGTCTAGTGGGCAAAGCCGAGGCTTTCAGAGACGATGCGGGACCAGGGGAAAGATAACTGGCTAAATTCTCTTCCGCCTGGGGCATCGCCTCATAACCATACTCTTTCAGCCCTCTTATTCTTGAATAAGTGTTAACATGAGGGCTGAAAAGACGTGATGAGTATGGTTTATTCCACGATTTAGAGATTTCATTGTGCAAATCGGGAAAAAATGGAAGCCCTCGTGGTGGAGATAATGTGGTGGAAGATAAAAAGCGCTCATCTAACTTGCTTTTAGGACGAGCGCCCTTCTTCTCAGATGGCCATTCAATATTTAATTTCTCTACAGCCCGCGACATAACATCCACCAGCTCATCATATGCTGGGGAAATAAATTGTGAATCTCTTTCCCCCATGTGTGTGCTTACACTCTCCACACTCATCGCATCAACCTCCTCGGAGGAAGAGCAATAAAGTAATGGAGGGCTCTCTCCCCGGGCGAAAGAAACCGCAGAGCGTGCTTCCGACACCGGGGAGAGAGCACTGGATCTCTCGGGTAAGGAAGGAGAAAGAGCCCTCGGACCCGTCTCCAACCCCTCCGAAAGATCCTTTTGCGATCCCCAGGAATGCATTCTCCGCGCTGCCTCAGCAGACGCGGGTCCTGATCCCTGTGGATCGCGAGCCTGCCCACTCTCTTTATCAAAGAGTTACAGGCGAGAGCGGAGCATGCGAAGCGGTAACATCTCACAATGCTGGCACTCAGCCCCCTCGAAGGCTGAGACCGCATGCTCCACTCCCAAACAAACGACACAAAGCTTGTGTGTGTCCCCACCCGTTAAATAACGCGGGCAGGGAGAAGCACACTGTTTGTACACTTGTTTAGTTTCCATCCTTTTCCGCAACAGACAACAGTAAATTGACAGAGACAAAATGACACAGATCGCTTGCTGAGACGCAGAAGCTAATGCCGCGTTTCACCGGGCGAGCCTTTATCCCTTCCTGGTCATGACGTCACCCGCCCGTGACGCTCATTCTTTCCATTGGACTAGTTGACATTGATGCTCAGACGCATGCACGCTGGGGGCGTTCCCAAAGCGTCAAGTGACGCATCGCGAGTTCCCTCGAAAGGGAAATACAGTTTTCTCACCTGTGCTGTTGATCTCTTGAGCCGCCAGTGTCTCTGAAATCATGATGTTCTGCTCATTCAGTGATTTGAAATCAGCAAGTTTATGATTATCTGATTAAAGACAAAAGCAGCAGTGGAAATGTGTTTTTGAGGAAAGTCCACATAATGCACACTTAAGACTGAAATGATCTACAAAACAAAGTTTGAATGGAGTTTGTAAATGAAGTCTTCAGTTATAATTAATGAGAGTTCAATTGTATGATTTTATAAGCTACTTAAAATTGTGTTGCGAATTCTAATGATGCTACTGTAGACGTACTTACAGTAACTCAGTCAATACAACCCTGAACAGAGCAAAGATCAAGTATCAGTTATACTTACAAATCACCCCGAGAGTGCAGAGACCTCCGAGAGCAAACACAAGAGAGAAACACAGAACAATCAGAGAAACTTTAGTCCACTTAGGAGAAATGACCTCTCTCGCTCTCTCTCGCTCTCTCTCTCTCACTCTCTCTCTCTCTTCAGTGGAGTTGCCTGGGATTACAAATTTGATGAGAAAAATTAATGATTTCTGAATCTTGAATCTTTGCAGCATTTCCATCTGGAACCATTTCTGAATTTACACTGGGCTAATTTATTTATGATACATTTTTAACAGAATACATTTTCAACACATTGACCAAATCTGACATTTTATTAATTGTAATTATTTATTTAGTCTTGGGAATTCAGCTCTACCATTCAGTTAAAATCTACCTTCATCATATGGTTGACTATTGTCTGAATGTTTATCAGTGTGGATTTATTGCAAGTCTACTAAGCCAAAAGACTCAAATGCACGAGGGTAGTTCTGAGTTGATGCAGGAGCATCCGTTTGGACGATGTCCACCTTGGTCGTCCAGAAATAGCCCTGGCTAAACCTTGTAGGGGTGTGAGATGTCGACAAAGCGCACTTTCTCGATGAGCTGTCATGGCCATCGTGAGCTGCCCCTGAGTCTGCTCGTCACCAAAGGCGTCTGTTCCACTGCGGGAAAAAAGCAAGCGCTCTGGCGTGACCAGCTCAGCCGTGACGTCGAGCCTCGCAGGGAGGCGACACCACCCGTTTCAGCTGCTAATCCTCCAAGCGGTCGGTGAAACACCACCCCTGAGACGGTTGACCCAGAGATGAGCGGAGCTGCAGAGGAGGGCCGGGTGGAGAATCTTTTGTTTAGTTTTGTTTCTGTTCCGCTGCTAGCTGCCAGCGGTACGCACATTTTCAATTAAAGGGCATTTTATTATATCTCTGGGTCCCAACAGGGTGCGCAATGCATGACACTCTGCCTTGCCACCCTCAGTCCCCCTTTTGTCGCCAGGCCATATGTGTAATTTCCACATGATATCTTTCTACTCTCCCTATGGGTAGGATGTGGATTCCGCAGAGTCCTTTTCCAAAACTTGAAAGGGCACACTTGGCCAGTGTTATCCAATAGTCTATTAACATCATCATAGTCTGTTGTTCCGGGTCATGCGGAACAACAGTTCTACCAGAAAGACTCGGGAGAGAAGATACTGTACAATTATGCATTTTATTAACAGCCCAACAAGCAATATATGCAATAAAGTTCTTTGGCGTGGGCCCCGTCCGTAACTCGCGATCCGAGGGTACGGATTCTGCATTTCCTGCCTGAAGATGAAGGCAGGGGCGCAGCCGACCCCCCTTGGGGTATTGGAAGGGACCGACCTGGTGGTGGTGGGAAGGATGGAGTGAAGACAGTCTTGGTGGAGGTGGGGAGGATGGTGGTAAGTGAAGCGTCAGCATCTGCAAACTCAGACGAGTCTAAGTAAGGATCTTTTATACTTCACGTATTAGAACGCGATTGGATAGATGAGAAGGTAATAATAAATGACGTAACAATTGAGTCTTCCTGGCAGAACTTACGCTACGCTTTCATTGATCGACTGTGTCAGCGCCCTGTCCCATCTTCCGCCCCAGGAGGTGCGGGGGATTAGGTGGCTTTTGTTAGGGATCCCAATTCGTTGGTACGTTCCGACGTGACGTGTACACCTGCATGTTCTATGCGAAGCTTGTCCTGGCATCACATGCTGCCCAGATTTTGATTCCTTATTAAGCCAGCTCACTGGGCATGAACTGCTCGAACACACATCTACCTGTTAATGGCACCAGGCACTCATGCACTGTTAATGTCAGGCTCTAACATAATTCTGACCCCCGCCAAATTATCATTGTTTGAGCGATACACTCCCGCAAGAATGAGCACACCAATAGATGCTTCGATGTCTGTCCAGTCCACAGCCCTCCACTCATCACCAATGTCTTTTATCTCTCTCACTCTCTTTCTCTCTGCACGTGTGTGTGCATGTGGATGCATAAGGGTATCACTCCTTCATATCTTTGTTTTGCATTTGTGGCTAATTTCATTTGCAAAATTTCATAAAAGGTCTCTGTTGCTATAGGTTTTTATACTGTACAAACTGTATATTCTGTCTCCTTACACTAACCCGACCTAAACCATCCCATCACACTAAACTTGATGCATTTCACAGTGACACGAGTCCCCATGAGTCGTATTTCTGTATTTCTCAATACTTAGGTCACTTTTTTATGGAAGCAGATTAGTCTCAAATATAATTCACGCAAAAAACATGATTCAAACATGCGTAAACAATTTCACATGCATGAAACCTAATTCACGTACACTCAAAAAAAATTCACGTGTGTGAAAAATTTATATTCACAAAAAGCAATTCACATGCGCAAAATAAATTTATATATTCGTAAAATACATTTCACAAATGCAAAACACACTTCGTAGATATACAACTGTGCACAAAAACCTTTCAATGTTATAAATGTACGAGTGTGTCCTTGAATTTGAATGTGCAAATCGTCATTCACGTACGAATCACCTTGGTTGTGCGTGCGTGCGTTTTTGAGACTTTTCTATGGAAGCAGAATAGTCTCAATTATAATTCACGCGTGAATTGGGTTTCATGCATGTGAAATTGTATACGCATGTGTGAATCATGTTTCTTGCGTGAATTATAATTGAGACTATTCTGCTTCCATACTTTTTCAAAACTCTTCACTCAGTGAGCACAACAGAAGTATATGTGTGCTAAACAGTGCATCATTTATCATTGCGTTGGCACAAAATGCATTCAGTGACTACATCTTTCAAATTACATTAATTATTTTCTCATTTCGACAAAACTCTGTGTATACAGGCTAATTTACACATGCTTACTGTTTTCAAAACTGTTAAACTTAAGTTCAAAACAATTACATAATACAAAACTGAATAAGACAGCATTTTGCCACATTTCTATAGTAAAATTGTAATGAAATATATTTTGAATCTAAAAATTAAATGGTATAAAAACAATTGGACAATTGAACCAACCACAGCTGATTCCTATTGTATCTGTATCGGTGGATGGTGTGTATACAAATTTTTGTACTTTGGAATTACTCCAAAAACATAAAATATATAATGTATTGAAGCTAACTGCATCATGGCTAATTCATTCTAGTAACATATATTGCAGTTAATTCTAAACAGTATAGAGAGGTAGAAGAAAGAAAGCATTTACAGAGGAAAACATTTTTTGTTTTGTGGGTGACGAAGTGTGTTTGTTGGCTATCAACCTAGTGTTATGGAAGAATGTGTTGATTTGAGACATGCACGAAGTGATTTTATAGTTTTAGTGCATTTTGAAATTAACTACTGTGCCGAGCTGAAAGTTGGATAGGAGAACTGTGAAGAGATGAAAAAGTAAAAGTATTGAGAAATGTGTAGCAACTGTAAAAAACTGTAATGAAACTGACTAAAACTAAACTGAAATTTAAAGCAAAATTGAAAACGATATTAAAATAAAAGCTAATTTAAAAATGTAAAACTATAATAACCTTGGTGTGTGTATATAATGTAGAAAAAGTCACTATATGCCATGAGATGAAGGGAACCATGTTATTTTAACTAAGGAATAGTCGATTGGGATCATATTGACTCCACACACAATATGAGAGTTACATTACAGAGTTCACAGCTTTTGAACCTAGGGAACACATGAATAGATAAAATGTATACCTCAAATGTAATGTAAGCCGCTTTGGACAAAAGCATCTGCCAAATGTGTAATGGTTGAATGAACATAATTATTATTATTTTTTTAAACCTTACAGTTATTGCATTGCTCAATCTTAATAGAAATTCAAATGCAGCCTTACCTCTGTGTTGAGAGCATTTTTCATCTGAAGAAACTGTTGAAAGTGCGAGATCAGCATTTTCATAGACTGAACCCATTTCATGAGCCTGTAGAAGACGTGTCCGCTGAGACTTGAGTGCTGCTCCAGTTTGTTCAGAATAAGGAAGTCACATAGTTTTTATCTCCTGCTTTAACTTAAAAATAAAAAAATAAAAAAATTGGAGTGCAGAACAGCACTCTAATTGTCTAATTGTAGTTTGCATGACCCCTCCCCCTGTTTGTTCAGACTTCAGAGACTCATTATTTTAAAATGAAATAGAAATATAAATTTGATGGGAAAATTTTTATTTGAAATTGAGGGGAGATTTCTTTTTTACTTAGTCTATATTATTCCCAAGGTTGTATTTAAGAGGGTTCCCGGAGTAACATTTAAGGTTTTTGAAAACTGATTCATGTGAATGTTATTTTAGCCTTCAAATATTATTTTAAAATACGTTTTTTTATTTTTTTTTATATATATATATTTAATAATACTGAAAAATTATAATAATACTCAAGTGCACAAATACTACAACAAATTCTCACTGAAGAATTAAAAGTATATAAATCTGAAAAAAATCTGGTTATCTGAAAATTTGCTAGCTTGCAGTTTAAAACATTAGTGTTTGTTTTATTCATACCACATCTCTAAATAAGTGTCTTTATAGAAATCTTACTAATTTAAAAGAGACTAATACACCTCTAATATCTTCGTTTTAAATGGACAGCAATATATTTAATCATGTCTGGCAACTTGACATATGTTTTCAGTATTAATAGTATGTGTATTACAAATGAACTGGTTCTATGCATTTATTTCCATTCAAAGTGATGAAAACGTAATGAATTAAACATAAGCAGCAGCTTCACACACACAAATCTTTTCTCTTGAATTAGAGATTTTAGTCCAGTTATCAGGCTCTCTGACATTCTCTCGCTTTATCCAGAATCTGCAGAACGGAAAGACTAAATACAACCACTGGTTGTTTTTCCATTCAAAGGTTGTATTTTAAACATGAATGAAGCTCTTACTCTGCTGAATCATTAAGTGGTTGTTCAAATCAGTGTCCACTTTAACTTTAGAGGAAATACCCATGGAGAAAAAAATGAACAGTTTTAACAGTGAGATCAGATGTAAGACACACATGGTTCAGAGCAGAGAAATATAATATTTAAGGTCAACATAAAAACAGCTCGCTAAAAATACTTCTCTGCTTTTAACTTCTGCTTTATCTTATAATCTAGCTTATACTTGATACTTGGCATTATGTACTGCAAATACTGTTAATTCTTAAAATAAAATGTTTGTTAGGTCACTCATTTGTAAGTAACTTTGGATAAAAGTGTTTTCTAAATGTATAAATCATTTGCAGATTTATTGCCTTTCATTCAGTTTCACTCAGAAATATGCTGCGTTATGGAAGTAAAAATGGTTTAATTTTTCATGTTGACATATTTACAGTACAGTTTAGCAGTTTGATTTCATATTCTAACTGTAGAATATGAAATCAAATGTAATAAGGATGCATTACCTGTAGTATAAATATATACACTCTTAAAATGAAATATTCCAAAAGAGGGTTTTGACAGTGATGTCATAGAAGCATTTTTTTTGTTTTGTTCTCCAAATAACCTTTCAGTGATCCAATCTTTTCTTAGTATGAAAAATATTTGACCTTTTTCTGAACCAGCGTAAAAAAAAAAGAAAGTTGCCAGCCACCGCCTGTCACATTAGTACTGAGGGACGAAGACACAAAGATAGAGTGACAATGTTTATTTAAACAAGCATAAGCAACTT